AACTGAGCTTTTTGTAACTAACCTGAAATTCTGCAGTGAAAGTTCATTGCTCAAGAACAATTGCAAGTGTCTTTCTTTTGGCTCTAACTATGGTAAAACGTTTGCACATCAGACTTTACCATTTACACGTTCCTAAGTGCCGACACCAGGGCAGTCTTAGACGGGGATCAGAGGAGGACGCGCCTAGGATGCAGTCGCAGCTACTGAGCATGCGCACAGGGCCAGCTCCGGCGGCACCGGCTCGGTGCTCCCTCGGGGTGGAGACTAGAGGACGAGAAGCCGGAGCTCCCGCAGGCCGCGCAGTGGCGTCATCTGGGTGTCGTGCTGACTCTGGCTGGAGAGGAGGGCCCCGAGGAGGAGCCACGGTAAACAGGAGATGTGGGCGAGAGTTTAATCGGGCTGGTTGGGTCTCCAGTTTGGAGCTTCCAAAGCAGCTCTTCGTTGGTTCGGCTCAGTCTCTTCTTCTCCTGGGTTTCCTTCTCAACGTATTCCTGGAGGTTCGCGTTTTCCTCCGAGAGTTGTCTGCATGGGCACAATGACAAAACAAGTAGCAATCATGCTAGTGGACACCGACCCTGAGGTCACTACAATGGGTGCAGGACAAAGGGAGGAGGCCATGATGCCCTCAGGGAGAACAGGGACCAGGGCGACCCAGTGATCAAGAACTTTGGTGGAGTCATGATTTCCATTTGGCCCAATGACACACCTGTTCCCAGAGCCTCTCTGGCCAACAGCCATCATCTCACAGGCCCTGTGCCTGGTCAGGGGAGGCACTGGCTGTCCACTGGACAGAGCAGAGGCCAGCGACTGAAAGGAGGGAAGCGGAGAGCTGGAGTGGGTGTGCTGCCAGGAGGCTCCGAAAGGAGAGACAGCCACGGAGCTGGCAATTGACAATGACCACAGCACAAGAGCAGCGACGAGCCGCAGGCCTTCCTGAGCCTGCCGGGAAGCTGGGGGTGCCTTCTCCTGGCCTCCCTGCCCTAGGCTTGTGCCTCCATGACAGCAGCGTCCTCCCCTGATGGACATGCTGCGCTAGGGGTCTGTGTCCGCCTGCTAGACTGGGAGCTCCGGGGGACAGAGGCCAAGGCTCCGTCTGCATGCTGAACCCCCAGCGTCCAGCTGGTGCCAGGCACATAACAGAAGCTCAGTTAATGTTTGCTGATAAAGACTGGTGGGTGAAAAAATGAATCTAAATTGCTTGCTTTGTTGCATTTTTGAAGAATGACAGCACCTTTGAGGAACTAACAGGAACAAGTACATATGTATTTTAAAGCTGGACGGACCGAGGTCCAGAAAAATCAGCTCTGTTGGATAAAGTCTGCACTTGCTCTGCTGACAGGGGCACCTTGGCAGCTTCCGGAGCAAAGGGAGACTGCTGCCCCCAGCACAGCCTTTCCTGTGTGCCTCTGAGCTGAGAACAAAATGCCCGCACTAGGGGCATAGTTATGGGGGCAATGGCTGTGTGTCCATTCGTGCATGTGCATAAGAGCATATATATGTGTGAGAATGTACATGTGAGAATAAGCATGTACATGTGAGGATAAGTGTGCACGAGTGTGCAAATATGAGGGCATATGAATAGGTGTGAGGATTGTATGAGTGTATGTGTGCATAAGTGTATGAGAGTGTGCACGAGTGGGAGTACGCAAGTGTGTGTGTGAGCGAGCATGCAGTGCCTGTGTGAGTGCATGTGAGTGTGTGCATATGCACGAGTTACGTGTGCAAGGGTAACACACCACAGGTGAATGCTGAGGAGCCTAGTTGAGTGGGCAAGGGTTCGGGCCTGGGTCTTACTGATATGGCTGAGCCCGCTTGGCAGAGCAGCTGAGGAAGCCAAAACCCTACTCTATCCACACACTGCGCTGCGTGAGGGAGGAGCCTGAACACCCTTTCTTGAAAGCTGGGGCACCTCAGAGCGGGGCCCCACAGGGACAGGCAAGACCTGGATGGAAATTGTGAATTTCTGGAAGTTGCGGTATCAACCCATGGTGACTCTCTTTTTGGCCTGGGAACACCCAGCTGGCCCTCCTCTCCTAATCCCTTCCCAAAACAAACCCCTTCCCCTCCCAGTGCTGCAGGAGGACCCTGCCACACACTTTTGCTGATTCACTCATGTCTCCCAAGGTGGGGCCCATTGCTGTGTGGCCAGGAATAGGCAAGATGGCCACACGGGCATGCTCTTGTTCTTCAGGTCTTGGGGGAAAACAGCAAGAAACTGCGGGGAAAGACTCACAGCCCAGAGTGAGGAAAACTGGGTGTTGCAACACAAAGAAGCTCAAGAGGAAAGCCACTTTGTAGGTGACAGCCAGCCCACCTACCTGGTGACAACTGTGTTTTGGTCAATCCTTGCTCTGAGGTCTTCATTCTGCTGTTGGAGAACCTGGATCTTTTCTTCTAGGATGATGTTCTTTTCTGCCTATAAAGGAAACAGTGTTTAAGAGGTTCTAGCAAGGCCATCAAATGGGAAGTAAACCGGTACCCTCAGCTCTGGGCATTGGAGGCTTATCAAGGACAGCATTTCGAAAATACCAGTTTGCAATGTATTAGTGGGTTGTAAAATCAGGTCAGAGGAATGTGACTAGCATTTCTTCTTTAAACGAAACAGCATAGAAAACGCCCATGTGCACCGTATGTAGCAAATTTCAGGTATTTTTATTTTATATATATTATGTGTGAGTGTGTGTTTCTGATGTAAAATGTATTTCTTATAGTGAGTGTCCCCAGGCCCTTGCCATTGTCAGAGATAAACCATGAATACCACTAGGACCTCGTTTGACTATTGGGTTCATGGTTCTTCCCAAAGGGGCAACCACACCGTAGCAGCATCCCTGGCCAGCTGTCCGTGCACGACACGACATCCTGAATCAACGGAGGGAGGAAATCTAAATAACGTAAGCACGCTTTTTCCTTTAGAGGCTACGGGCAGCCAGGAATGCAAAGCCGGAGAGCAGCTGGGTACATTCCCCAAATCCCATCATGCCATGGCTGTTACTCCCCAGCAATTGATGCTTTCCCTCTGTTAGCATGTCCCTGAGGGCCTGAGACCTGGCTGAAGTACAGTTCGATTCTAAGACCACTTTAGAAATAAATTCTTTTCTGAAAAGAGTGTGACACGTTCACTGTTAATGTAGTTAATCTTTAAAGAAAACGGTCCCTAGTCCATGAACAGGACTTCGGAATCCTAACCCCAGGACTGGCCTCTGGCCCCCTCTTTAGCAAGGCCCTTCACCCAGCCCTCACTTTTGCTCCCAGGAGATGAAGTGATCAAGTAGGTTCTTTTTTGCCTGGAAAGGTTTCTGGGATGAGAAGCCATACGGGCAGGCAGAAAGCCTGAAGCAGGGCTAAAATCAACCAATAAACCCAGAGGTTTGCTGGTGACCCAATGCAAATGGCCAAGCCAGGAGCGGGAGGAAGGGTGGCTGTTCTCAGAGCAGCTGGTCCCCACACTGGCAAGGCTGCAAGGCAGGGTTCGGCTGAGGCAGGTGCTGCCCGGTAGCTCCCTGCCAGCCCTAGGCCTGGCCTGAGCTGGGAAGTCCTGAGCTGCTGGAGGGTGCAGAGTGGTCAGCATCACCCAGAATCTTGGCGACAATGCAGCATCACCTGCTCTGCCCCCATTAACTGAGAAGCACCCGTGCAGCAAGAGATGTCTGCAAAAAGGGATGCTTCCAGAGAGAGAGGCGACATGGCCACCAAATGCAATGGGTGGTCCTAGATCAGCCCCTGGTTTGGTTGTACAGATGCAAGGGACACTTCACAAATGGGGAGCTTTAAAAATTCGATGTTATGATCAGTTTCTGCCTGACCTGGCAAGCTGAGGATATAAAACACATGGTACAGTACGTGGGTGTGCAGACACTGCCTTACAGAGAAAAAGTTCTGGAAAGTATAAGCATTGGCAGGAATATGATGCTATAATCTGCTTATTTTCTGTTTATCTTATTTCATAATTTTCCACAGTACACACATGTCCTTTTGATAGTATCAGAAGTTTATTTTTAAAGTAACAATAATAAAGGGAAAAAGTAAGAATCTGAGATCCTGGGGCCAACTTCCAGATCAAGATGGGCTGCCTTTGGAAGGAGGCTTCTCCTCCACTCCCTTTGCACACCTTTCTGGGACTCTAGCCCTGGCCGGGGGCTCGTGTGAAATCCTGGCTGTTCTGTGCTCCCCTTTGCTAGCTCTGCGGGAGCCAGGCTGGTGGGCTGAGGTGGACGAGTGTGCGTGAGAGCAAGGACTCTGCTCTGGACTGAATGTTTGTGTCCCCGAAAATTCCTATGCTGAAACCTAACCCCAAAGTGATGGTATTAGGAGGCGGAGCTTTGGGGAGGGGATTAGGTCCTGAGAGTGAGCCCCTGTGCGTGGGATTAATACTCTTATAAAAAGGGCCCCAGGGAGATCCCTGGCCCCTTCTGCCTTGTGAGGACCGGAAGCACTGGGCCAGGACTCCTAGCTCCATCTCCGCATCTGTAAAGCGGCTGGGGGCGGCAGCTCCTCCACAGGCAGCTGTAGGAGTTAGGAGCAGGCTCGGGGAAGGTGCTCCGTGCAGTGCCTGGGCACCGGGGATGCCGCATTGTGCTGGGTCACCACACGTCCCCAAGAGAGGGCGAGGAGACAGCAGGACTGTGGGAAAACCAGGGCGAAGCACAAAGAGGCCGCCCATCAGAAAGGCTCCAGAGTTGGACAAGATAAGGCCACCTCCAAGATTCCTTATGAGAGCTCCTGGCTTCCTGGGAAAGGCCCGCGGTGGGATTTCTGCGTAGGTGTAAGCAATGGGCAGGTAACAGACACACCTGGCTGAACACCTCAGTGTCAACGATGACCTCAGTGATGACAGCAGGAATGTCACGGAGGTTAGTTACTCTCACGAGCAAACGGACCAACTCACCAGCTTTTCCAGCTCAAGAATCTTCTTTTCCTGCTCATGTATTTGCTGATTCTTCATCTCTAATACCTGCTTCAAACTCTTCATGTCTTCTTCCAAGTGCTGATAAGGAGCCAACGCAATCTACAGGGGCAGAGAGCCATGAGCTGTTGACCGGGGCTCCCGACAAAACCCAGTATTAACCAATGCCACGAATCCAGCTAAATCCATCCTCCTAGGACAAGTGCCCTGATGGCAACTGCGACACCAAAGAGAGAGGATGCTACAGCCTTCCCTGATAAAGTTTCCCACTGAGAAGCCTCCTAAAATCCAGTTCTGTGGGGGAGCAGGTGAGACACGGGCATCATCCACTGGAAAGTCTGACTCCAGAACTGCTGGGTGCTGCCACCCTAAGCCCAGCAGGGAGCTCATGGGGTAGAAAGAGTAAACCCAACACTGGCTTTTCCCATTCACCCGGAAGACTTGATTCACGAGGTAGCTGGGACTCTTACAGGTCTCACCTATGCCCGTAAAGAGCCCATGCATAGGAAATGAGCCAAGTGGTTTCAGAAGCAGAAAAGCCATTTTAGACAAAAGTCACATTGGGGTAGTGCTGCTGGATATAACAAATTAAAATACAGTAGGTCCTGTTAAATTCAAATTCAGATAAATGACATTTTAAAAAATTCAGTGTAAGTATTGCACAGGACAGACTTATACTCAAAAATTTATCTGTAATTCAAATTTAACTGGGTGTCCTGTATTTTATTTGGCAACCCTACATCAGAGGGAAGGAGCTTTGCTAGCTTTTCTGGAAAAACTTCCCCTCAATCTGTTAACGCATGCTGCAGCCAAGGCTGCCCCACGTCAGCCTAAAAAGTTGCGGGAGAACGGGCTGGAAGGGGTGGCCGGGCCGGGGGAACGGGCTGGGAGGGGTGGCCGGGCCGGGGGAACGGGCTGGGAGGGGTGGCCGGGCCGGGGGAACGGGCTGGAGGGGGTGGCCGGGCCGGGGGAACGGGCTGGGAGGGGTGGCTGGGCCAGGGTGGGGGTTTCCAGACCATGCTTATCACAGGAGCCCTGGGACTCCAGCTGGTGAATGCTGCGGAATTTGGCAAAAATAACATGTAGCTGGACAAACCCACAGCTGCTGTCTGTCTCAGGGGAGAGGTGCTGACAGGAATTGTTTAAAAATCCAGGGGAGGCCGTGACCAGCTGTCACTTCAGCAGCGGATTCACAGAGAGACCTTGTCTTGGGACCGGACTGCTGAGGGAGCCCTGCCGGCCTCGCTGGGGCGGGGTCCCCGCAGGGCTGGAAGCCTGGAATCCAGAAACTACCTCCAGCTGCTCCTCTGTGTTCTTCCTCAAGGCCTCTTCGAAGCGGCGGGCTCTGTCCCGCAGAGACTGGCTCTGGAAGGTCAGCGTGTCCACCTGGTCCTGCAAGTAATGATACAAGGAGTCCAGCTGGGGCCACTACAGACAGCAGCCACCACAGCCTGGGCAACTGTGATCAGTGGGCCACCACTGTGCCCTGAGCACCCTCAGAGTGTTTCCCTGGGGGCTGGAGAAAGAGGTGCCAAAGGGGAACCCCCACAGCCACACGATGGAGGAGGGTGTCCCCCCGCGTCTGCCCTCGGCTCACTCCTCCTTGGTGCTTTGTCAGGAAGAGACCACAAAAGCACCGTGAGCCAGGGGGCATTTCACAACCTCTGATCTCACAGAGGCAGACAATCCTCAGAGAGAATCCTCAGAGGTGCCTCTTGTCCAGGAGGCACCCAGCCCCTGGCTTTGGGAAGGACCACGATGAACCTATTTCAAAGACGTATTCTCATTTAGGAAGCTCAATCCAGAACCCTTCAAACCCTCCTTAACTTCCTTCTCTCCCTCGGGACCCCTCCCACATCACCAAACCTTCTCATCACCAAGTCCATAATCAAGTCCTGCCATCCTGCCTCCTGAATGTCCCTAGAACCCACAGACTGCCCTGAGCTCCGGCCCCTCTGCTGGCTACTTTCTGGGACGATTCCTGTTTTTTTCTGAAGGATCACTCCTTTGCCCTCACACTGTAGTGAGGCACTCTTTCTAACGTGCAAACCGGAACCTGTCCGTCCCCTATCTCCTACCCCACTGCCCTCAAGCTGCAGTGCACACTCCCTAACACAGCGTCCTCCCAGCCTCGCTGCCTCCCTTTCCTCTCGTGCCAGCTCTCCTGCTGGCAGTGCCTTCCTCCAGCCAGCTCCCTCTCACTCCCGCTTCACTCTGGCTCCCACACAGCCTTCCTGGCCTCAGGACTGGGTGGCATGTCCTTGATAGGAGCTGCCACGTAAGCCAAGTCCACACAGTCTCCTCCTCCCTGCTCAGACCTGCCCCGTGGCCAGACTGGCACTCCCAGCCCTCAGCCTTCCCATGCCTGCCAGCTAGGCAGGCCGCTGGCCACTCTCCACCTGCAGGTTGAAGGAATACAAGCGTGTCTATGGAGACACTGCACCCCTTCCCCAGCTCCCAGCGCAGATGCACCTGCACTGACCCTGCCCCACTTGGCTCCGGCCATGACTCTCAGGACCACAGGCTGGCAAAGGACCGCTGATGCCCAAGGAGAGCTTCACCCTTCATGTCTCACTCGTGCAGACCAGTCCAAAGCTCTTTGCCCAGCACCATTTCTATAATATCAAAACATTCAAAACACAGAAACTAGGGTCTCCCATTAACTCTTCTAAAAAAGTATATAGATATACAGATACACACACACACAAAAAAAAAAAAAAAAAAAAAAAAGAGAGGGAGAGAGAGAGAGAGAGACAGAGACAGGGTCTCACTCTGTTGCCCAGGCTGGAGTGCAATGGTACGATCTCGGCTCACTGGAACCTCCACCTCCCAGGCTCAAGGGATCCAAGGGATCCTCCCATCTCAGCCTCCCAAGTAGCTGGGACTACAGGTGCACACCACCACACCCAGCTAATGTTTGTATTTTTAGTAGAGACAGGGTTTCGCCATGTTGCCCAGGCTGGTCTTGAACTCCTGACCTCAAGTGATCCACCCGCCTCGGCCTCCCAGAGTGTTGGGATTACAGGCGTGAGCCACTGTGCCCAGCCTCCTGTGAACTGTTCTGGCAAGAGAAATGGCCTCATCCACCAAATAATGGGAGGCGATATTGTGAATGCTAGTAAGTGTACACAGTGACACTAACATGGGAAGCACTGGCTTGACTGCTTGCTTGCTTATGGTGGACGACCCTGGTCTGCAACCTCCCTGAGTAGGTTCCTTTTCCTCTTTTTTTGTTCTCTTTTCCAGTTACTTCTTCTTTTTTTTTTTTTTTTTGAGACAGAGACTCACGCTGTCACCCAGGCTGGAGTGCAGTAGCTTGATATTGGCTCACTGCAACCTCCGCCTCCCAGATTCAAGGGATTCTCGTACCTCAGCCTCCCGAGTAGCTGGGATTACAGGTGCCCGCCACCACGTCCAACTAATTTTTTTGTATTTTCAGTAGAGACGGGATTTCACCATGTTGGCCAGGCTGGTCTCAAACTCTGACCTTGTGTGATCCACCCGCCTTGGCCTCCCAAAGTGCTGGGATTACAGGCATGAGCCACTGCACCTGGCCCACATCGACTAATTTTTTTTGTATTTTTGGTAGAGACAGGGTTTCACCATGTTGTTCAGGCTGGTCGCGAACTCCTGACCTCAGGTGATCTGCCCCCCCTCGGCCTCCCAAAGTGCTGGGATTACAGGCATGAGCCACCGCACCCAGCCTACTTCCATTTTATTTTTAAGAAATAAAAGTTTCCAGGCCAGGCGCGGTGGCTCAAGCCTGTAATCCCAGCACTTTGGGAGGCCGAGACGGGTGGATCACGAGGTCAGGAGATCGAGACCATCCTGGCTAACACGGTGAAACCCCGTCTCTACTAAAAAAATACAAAAAACTAGCCGGGCGAGGTGACGGGCGCCTGTAGTCCCAGCTACTCGGGAGGCTGAGGCAGGAGAATGGCGTAAACCCGGGAGGCGGAGCTTGCAGTGAGCTGAGATCCGGCCACTGCACTCCAGCCTGGGAGACAGAGTCAGACTCCGTCTCAAAAAAAAAAAAAAAAAAAAAAAAAAAAAAAAGAAATAAAAGTTCCCACAGTGCCATGAAATGCAAATGCCAGTGCACTGGGGCAGCACACTCAGGTGGGAGCTTGCAGACCTATGAGCTGAAATGTTCATCGCAGCCCGGGCAGCCCCTCCAGGCCCGCAGTACAGGTCACCTGCTATACTGACTATAAAAATGACCATGGCTTCTACACCAAACCTCCTCAGTGTTGCCAGAGAAAGCATTTCTTTTAAGCCTCTTTCCCTCCATTAAAAAATAAAACAATAGCAAACTCTTCAGGCAATTACAACATAGGATGGATCTAAAATACCAAACTGATGTTTTGCCTTATTCACCATTACTCAAAACAGATCTGCAGGGAGAGAATATGCTGCTGCAGCTAACGTGGGCTGGCTTCTCTATGTCATGCACAAAGACCCGGATGGTAGCCTGACCCAGTGTGGGTCACTGGGGAGTCAACCGACATCATGACAATAACCACAATAAATGTAACAATGCTTGTTATTATTACAATAGTCACAATAGCTGCCACTTATTAGCACTGACCTAAGCCAACCCAGGGCTAGGCACTTCTGACACGTTATTTTCCTTAATCTGTTCACACCTTGAGAAAAGTACTGTCATCATCCTTAAAGAGTAAATTAAGGTTTACAGAAGCTACATAACTCTACAAGATGTGAAAGCTAGTAAGAGCTAGCGCATTCAAATCTCTAACCACCAAACCTATTTCTCCAGGTGCCTGTAGACCAAGGAGGGTGGCCTGAGCAATTCCACCCTCCTTGCACCAAATAACCTCCAGCCCAAACGGATTGTGCTGGATGGAGAGTCACAACGAACATATGCCCAGTTCAGGACCATCTGGTGTCAGTGGCAGGGCGCCGACTCCCAGACGAGACAAAAGTTCTCATTTCTTTGGGTTTGGGATTGGATGGGGTTTTTGTGATGTTGCTGTATGGCTGTCAGTTTCCTGGTTGGTGTTCCTTTAAGGACAGCACAACTATTGGTGCAGGATGTGTACACGAGGAAGGCAGTCTGGGGTTCACTGGCCAAGGGCAAACCACACGAGCACTGTGCAGGCACAACACATTTTAGTTTTTGAAGAGTACGCTGGAGGGTGTGACCCTGGGTCTCTCCACAGTCCTGGACTCTTGGCGGGCCAAGCTCAGTGCCATGTATGTTGCCAGAGGAAAGGGAGCCCTCGAAGAAGCAGAATTCCTACCTATGTATTAAGTTATGGGATTCACCTCCCACAATTCCAGATGACAGTGTGCCTAACATTTAAAAAATAATTTTGCTGTGATTGGAATTGCCACACTTGGAAGTGGAAGCAGGGCCCCCAGCGTCCCCCTGGCTTCCCAGGCAGCTCCTCCCTGGGGCTGGCGGTTGTCAATGTCTTTTCACAGAAGCAGCTGCCTGCGTCTCTGTAAGGCAGGAAGGAAGCAGGAAGGAGGCAGGAAGGAGGCAGGAAGGAGGCAGGAAGGAAGCAGGAAGGAGGCAGGAAGGAGACAGGTGATCCGGGACACGCTGCATTCTCTCCTTAGAGGCCTGCAGGACACAGGCAGCTCCTCTGGCATCTGAGACCAGCGTTTCCTAAAGGTGATGGTGAGAAAGTGTTTTTCATCTCAGCCACCTCCAGGTAACTGCAGCCCCTTTTGTAAGTCTCAGAGCATGTTCTGTAAGTCTCAGAGCATGTTTTGTAAATCTCAGAGCATGTGAATTCTGACCTGCAAAACCCTCCTTGCACCATTTCCCCGGCCTAGAACACTCTCTTCCCCAAGTCCTCCTCTGGCTTTGAACATAGCTCAGTTACTCCTCGGATACTCCGGACCACAGCAAGTGCACAGCAATCTCTCTGAATGTCTGTGGCATTCACTAACTGTATTATTCATTTGGTGCAAGTATGTGTTACCTGTTGTCTGTCACTATTTGCATCACAGCTCTCCGAGTAGACAGCACATTTCTTCAGGGTAGGCAGTGTGACTTATTTACCTTATGTTCCAATGTTTAGTACAGGATTTAGTACACGGTAGGTGCTGAATGAATGTCTGTGGGTGCGAATAACGATGCTGCCATTATCTTGGTATCAGGTAAGAAAATTAAAGAAATTCTAACCTGCAATGACAGCCGCAGTTTTTCAAAATTTTCTTCCAATTCTTTCTTTTCAAGCTCATGAGTGGACATCAATTCTGGAAAGAGGACATGAAACTGTTACGTTGGTCTTTCTTTTGAAAAGGATACCACAAGGCTCTTTTGGCAGACTAAGAACCGTGACTTCAGGTAAATCAATGACTCCCGGATAGCAGATTCAAGCCTACAGGGACTCCTCCACTGGTTTGAAATTGTATGTGATGAACGGGTTAGTATTTAGGAGAGAGAAAGAAAGAAGGGACTGGGGAAAGGGAGGGAAAAGACTGGGGAAAGGGAGGGAAAGACGATGGGGGCAGAGGAGAGCACATATGAACACACACACAGCACACACTCTACACACACACACACACGTCACACACGCATCACATAAACACAAACACCACTCACACACACCCTACCACACACACATCACACACACCACACGCCACACACACACACCTACCACACACACCACATACACACATGCCACACACACATACACCTACCACACACACACCACATACACTACCTACAAGAGCACATCCAATACACACCTACATACATCACCTACACATACCACATGCACACATACACACACACCCCACACACATCAAACACATACACCACATTGCCACACACACCACACACCAAAACACACACTATATGCCACACACACATACACACTCTATCACATACACACTACATGCCAGCACATATACACACCTATCACGCACACCCCTGCACACACACTCCCGCATATACATATGCTCACACACATCCCCACACATAGCACACATCATGCCTCTACACCCCACATACATACACTGCACACATCCCACATACACATACATACCACATACAAACCTCCACCACACACCCACTACACAATACACCATACACATTCCTCCACACCCCCACATATATACACTACACACACCACACATGGCATTACCACATACACAATTTACCCCACACACATATATACAACACACACACGCATAACACACCCACACACACCAATCACACCTCAGCTCACACTGCATGCCTCCAAATCCATACACATTTACACAAACACACACATACCCTCCTCTCACATCCTTACAGCACCTTAAGACCTTTGCAATAACACATACCCACCTCCACACCACAGCACACACACCACACACCACACACTTACAAACACATCACACATATACATAGGATGCACACTCACACACTGCACACACTATAAACACCCGCTCACATACTACACACACTCCATCCACATCCCTACCTCCCACACCACACACACACACACCCCCATACCTCCCACCACACACACCCCATCCCCCCACACCTCCTACCACACACACCCCCGCATCCCCCCATACCTCCCACCACACACACCCCCCGCATCCCCCCACACCTCCCACCACACACACACCCCCGCATCCCCCCATACCTCCCACCACACACCCCCGCATCCCCCCACACCTCCCACCACACACACACCCCCGCATCCCCCACACCTCCTACCACACACACCCCCAAGAGATCTCTGCTACCTCCCACCACACACACCCCGCATCCCCCATACCTCCCACCACACACACACCCCGCATCCCCCACACCTCCCACCACACACCCCCGCATCCCCTCATACCTCCCACCACACACACCCCCGCATCCCCATACCTCCTAACGCTCACACACACCCCCGCATCCCCCATACCTCCTACTACACACACCCCGCATCCCCATACCTCCCACCACACACACACCCCCGCGCATCCCCCCATACCTCCCACCACACACACACCCCCGCATCCCCCATACCTCCCACCACACACACACCCCCGCATCCCCCATACCTCCCACCACACACACCCCCGCATCCCCCCCATACCTCCCACCACACACCCCCGCATCCCCCCATACCTCCCACCACACACACCCGCATCCCTCCAGCTACCTCCCACCACACACACACATCCCCCACACCTCCCACCACACACACCCCGCATCCCCCCATACCTCCCACCACACACACACATCCCCCACACCTCCCACCACACACCCCCAAAGATCTCCCCCATACCTCCCACCACACACACACCCCGCATCCCCATACCTCCCACCACACACACACATCCCCCACACCTCCCACCACACCTCCCCGCATCCCCCCATACCTCCCACCACACACACACACACACACACAAACACTTCTACGTTCAGCTGTACCACCATCCTGCCCAAGTCAGATCCTTTGTTCACGTTATTCATTGATTCTCTAAACTGACCTCATGGCAAAATAACTAGGTAATTAACATTAAATCCCATCTTCTTCCCCTCCCAGGATCACTCTTCCTTCCCACTGCAAAGCAGCCATCTGTGGCTGAGCAAAGCAGTGGAGCTGCGAGCAGCCATCCTGCCAGCCGGGCTCACCAGCCAGGCTCAGTGCTGCGTCTACACGGACACCTTGGTAGCCTCTTGGCTGCCCTCTGAGAACCACACATCCCTGGGATTTGCTTCAGCAATGATTTGGTGTGAAGACAACTCAGATGCAAGGAAGAACTAATTGGACTGATTCCTCTTGGAGGGTCTGAAACAACTCTGTTCCGTGAAAAGTGTCATCCCAGCAATGCTTTGTAAGTTAGGCAGAAAGAGATGTCATGTGAGAGTTATTAAGCAAATGGATTCTATTTTCCTCCAGATGGGAAGAGTCTTATTAGCTGGGTGAAGCCCATCTCATTCTGGCTACAAAAGCAATTTGTTTTCATGTTGTAACGAGAGGGAGGAGGGTCTCATTAATCAGCCGGGATCATAGGCTCAGAATGGTAGCATACTGGCGACCGACCATTACCATTCTGTGTGGCGTGAGCTGCAATCAGGAAAGACTTGGTGGTTTTCATTCACTCAAATCTTTTAACTAACGGTGGTAAGGGCCACTAAGAAATCCAGTTGTTACAGCTGACATTTACATTTGGAAAAGAAACGTTTGTGTTGATTTCATTGATAGAGAACCATGTGGCCCTCCGGTCTGCCTGCCTCTGACCAAATGATTAGTGTTACAGTCATCGAGAGCAGCATCCTGACCCTAATAATAGATTTTTTAGCTACCATTACCTACACCCACATGGCCTTGACATCATTTATAATTCACGGACCTTGAATGTGGTGTCTCAGTGAGACTTCATTCGTCAGAAAAATCCACCAGATCTATTTATGTGAAAATCCAGAAAGAAAAGGCAACACCACAGCTCACTGCGCCATTTCCGTTCACGTTCCCTTGCGTGAGACCAGCTTCCTCTAGTGACAGATTTCAGGGTGTTTTCAAAGGATCCCAATGCCCCAAGGGAAAAGAAGAGGCAGTATCCATTCTGAAGATGACATAAACTACTGCTAATATCTGTGTCTTCATCATGTATTTCTTTATTTCAAACTCACTACACTGTCTCATGCTTAATATGGTGTTTAACACAATGGTTCTCAAGTTTTCCTGCATATTAGAATCACCTAAGGAGTCTGAAAGCCTTCTGATGCCTGGGCTGCACCCCAGAGCAATTAAATTGGAATATCAGAGGTAGGCAGCCACACATCAGTGTATTTTTTATAACTTCCAGGTGGTTCCAATGTGTAGCCAAGGGTAGGGGCCAGTACTCCGAGTGTGAGACATACTACCAGGACCCAGGCAATCCCTTTAACTAGTCCCCAGGAAAATGCCGTCACTTGCCTCCAGCTTGGTCACTTACTAATAGCTCCCAGAGGCAGCGGGAGTGGTGCTTGAGGGCGACAATAACACAGACCTTGGTGATGGCACACTGGGTCTTGTTCACAGAGAACATTTTTACAATAATACAAACTCTGATGCTAATTCTCAAATTGTAACATTGTAAAAGTTTATCAATGTATTGTTAACTGTCGTTGCTTTTAATACACATTTTTTTTTTTTTGAGGCGGAGTTTCACTCTTGTTGCTGGAGTGCAATGGTGCAATCTCACTGCAACCTCTGCCTCCCAAGGTTCAAGCGATTCTCCTGCCTCAGCCTCCCGTGTAGCCAGGCCACCGCGCCTGGCTAATTTTTGTATTTTTGGTAGAGATGGGGTTTCGCCATGTTTGCCAGGCTGGTCTTGAACTCCTGACTTCAGGTGATCCACCTGCCTCAGCCTCCCAAAGTGCTGGGATTACAGGTGTGAGCCACTGCTCCCAGCCTTTAATACACACTTTAACAACCAGCTGACTGGGAGGGAAAAGTAAAGCGAGAGGAAGTTGAAAAATAAATTGTATGTATTAATGTAAACGCATGTGAAAGTATAAAATGCTGCTTCTTTCACAAAGGAAAATCTTAGTAATGATGGAACTTAGTAATGATGCCGTTACGACCCACATAAAACCCAAAGATAATTCAAAGTTACAAAAATGTAAAAAGAAAGATCTGGAGACTCAATGCCCACCCACGGTGAATGTGGTCTATGAGTGTAAGCTCTGGATATCCCGATCCAACCAGATGCTTCAGGGGCCCGGAAAGCATCACAAATATGAGGAAAGTGTACCCATGCCGGGGCTTCCATTTGTTTTTATAAGGCCATAAAAATCATAAAGCCTAGCCGGGTGTGGTAGCGGGAGCCTGTAATCCCAGCTACTTGGGCTGGAGGCTCCAGCTGAGGCTGAAGAATTGCTCGAACCCAGGAGGCAGAAGTTGCAGTGAGCTGGGATCACACCACTGCACTCCAGCCTGGAGAGCAAGACTCTGTCTAAAAAAAAAAAAAAAAAAAACAAGGGGGAAAAGAAAACAAAAAGTGCACTATTTCCATGCCTACTTTAGACAGTGGCCCTCAAGTGTGGCTACACATTAGAATCACCTAAGGAGTCTTAAGAAATCTTGATGTTTACACTGCACTATGGATCAAGGACATCAGAATCCCTGGGGTGGGACTGAGGCTGGCATTGGTCTTTGGTTACAGCTCCCCAGAGGACTGGGAATTCCAGTGTTCAGCAAAGTTGAGGATAACTGCATTGGAAGAAAGCAGCAGCAGCTACCTGGATCCTTAATTCCTATCTCTTCTTTTCCTAGGAGCCAACAGAAAAAAATGCAGCAGGAGGGAAAGACAGGAAAGGAGGAACAATAGAGGAAGGGGGGCTCCACACACCTGCAGCGGGAAAGGCTGGGCTTGCACCACCCCACCCCTGCCTGCTGCACACCAGGCTGGGAGCTACCTTGGACTTTGTGGTCGTGGTCATCCTGCAGGATTGTGATGGCAACTGTGTGGTTATTTTCCATCTCGAGGAGAGCAGCCTCATGGCTGGTGGTGAGATCTTCCACCTGGAGGAGAGTCGCAGTTACCGGTTAGACAGAGAGCTGCTTGGAGAACAGAAGTGGAATTCCGTGAGTGGAAAAGGTCCATGACCTGAAACATCAATGACAAGTCACAGCCTCGTGCCGAAGCAGGCGAGTTGGACTTTGGTGGTGATGTGGCAGCCCTCAGAGTCAAGAGGAGGTCACTGCCACAACCTGGCTCTTTGCAGGAGGATCCAACTCCAGGCAGGGGATCACTGCCTGAGGTACCTCTTTAGAGTCCTGAGTGCGGCTCCTGGACCATCCCCTTCCCACTCCTAGTCCATCCCCTTCCACCGCTATGAGCGATGACGGCAAAGGAAAAGAAAAGGTTCCTCCCTACGAGGTGGTCTGTTTCCCAGAGGCAGGGGGAGCTACAGTACACAAGGTCAACGGAGGGAACGAATACTTATTAGGCTGCCCGAGATACGTTACTCTACTTAACCCTCAGAGCCACCTTCTGAAGTAGATCTTTTTATGCCCAATTGACAGATGTGGAAACTGAGGCTCAGAGAAATTTGAAATGTTTTGCCCAAGGGTTAATAAATGGCAGAGCTAGCAGTGAGACCCAGGTCTGTCTGACTTCAAAGGTGAAGCTCTTTCGAATGCACTATTGTTTTGTGTTGACCTCCCCCAAGCAAGACCAGCAACGGACACCTTAGGATTCTCTCGCCAATACCAGGTGAGGCTGGGAGGTCTGCGTGTCTCTTTTTAAACACAAGGTTGCCCCCCAGATTATAACTTGGACCTTCTGCTCAGGCAACGTGGTGCTCCTGGTAAGGGCTACTGCTTCCCAGCTGCAGGAACGCTTCTAGCAGTTTAATCGCAAGTAGTGCAGCCAGTCCAGTCCAGGATTCTTCCTTTTCATGTTTCCTGACCCCCTCCCCTACCCCTCACCTTCCTGTCTACCAGGTTTACTGTTTTTGTTATTGTTATTGCGGCTGTTGTTTTAACTTCAAATACATGACTTGCAGGAATAATGGCCTAAAACGACCTCTCCCTATCATTGCAAATCTCTCCTGGATACACTACAACAGTGTTTATCCAAGTTCTCTGTCAGTGATCCACTGCAAAAATCACCATTGTACACAATACCACAGCGCACACACCCACACACAACCACACCCAAAACCAAAGTTTCACAAAAACAAAACTCCGCCTTCCATTTGGAAAAGTCTGGTTTAAAAATGCTTCCTCTGTTTTACTTCGTTTTACAAAACGCTAGTTAGAGGCGGCTACATTTATTTCACAAGCTACTCATGTGTCAAAACTTGGCATTTGAAAACCACTGAACTAGAAAATGTGCGCTGGTCTTGAAGCCCCTTGGTGGCCCAGTTAAGAAGACATTGCTTCTAGTTGGTCATATTCAGTTATCTCTGAGGCTCCCACATTTCTCTGGGGAGGATTCACGGGCTGACCTTTGATCTGAATGGAGAAAGGGTTCTCCCCAAGAAAAGAAGCCTGCCTGTGAAGTTGACACATGGGGATATATCTGATTTAAAAAGGGGTGGATTCCCATTCCAGATACTGTTATTTCATCAAAAAATTATCCCGACTTCTCTTTCTTCTGGTAAACGAGAACTTCATCCACTAAAACAAGTATCACTGGGCAGAACCAACAGCGGACCCATGGCGTTAGGAAAGCTGCATCGCAGTGTGATAATGGACACGGTGCACAATGACTCGCTCGCATTTCAAGGCCATTCTTGATGAAACGGTATTTACTTGAAGCTCAGAGCTATGAACCCACCAGCAGAAAGGCTGATTACAACAGTATTTCATTGTCCAATTCCTGTTTACAGGAGGTTTTCATGGAATCTTTGTCCAAAACCTTTCAATCTGTTGGAAGAATAAATCACTAGCTTAAAAAGGAAATATCTCTTCTTTCTGCTCCATTATGGATGTCACTCAGGCCATAGCACACTGTAAAAACACAGCACCCCCTCCCGCACCCTCCCCTCCACCCACACACTGTTTGGAGGGCTGTCACACAGTTCTGGAGAGCAAAAAGCCTTTCGTCGGTCCTTGGCGTGATTCTCATTTATTGGGTGCTTACACAAATGATCATGAGTGGTTTCAGAAAAGACAGATGGAAGAACTAAGTTTCAGAAGAGTCCTATGAGTCCCAGGAGGTGGATGTGCCCTGACCAGCAATACTGCACTGTGTTTGTGGCATCAACATATGCCATTCTGGTTTGCTGGAAGGTAAAAAGCCTTTGATTCAGTGGTGATGGAACACCATGCCCATTGTAGTAAGGGTCATGTAATGGCATCATATATTCCTTACAACCTTTCAGAGGTGCTTTTATGAATGAAATCACGGATCTCCTAACTCTAAAAGTTCATATGGAATTAGAGAAATGCCCAGTATGTTAGGAAGGAAACTAAAGGGAGCCCACGAGTCAAAAAATCTGAACACAAGAATCCCTGCTCTTTAGTAATTTAGGTTTCATGCAACTTTATGGTTTTTAAAAAATGTTCTCTCCAAGAGGAAGGAGCTGTCTACTGTTGGCCATCCTCTTTCTTGTCATAGTATTCATCCGTACAACTTCTTCTCCTGTGGTTCTTGGCTTCTTTCTACAGCACAGGTTCACATTTATGAAGCAGCCAGTAAGAATTCCCAGCCTGAGAGGATCTTGAAACCAGAAGGAATTGGAGGAGATTTAAACAAGGTGACCCTAGGAAAGCATAAGATCTTTCTATGCATTGAAGATCACCAAATCAAAGACAAATTATGGCCTATGGCAAACTTGGGCTGGCTGAAGCATCCTTCTCTTCCATTTAGAACCCTGGTGAGGCCCCTTAGACCACCACTGGGCCGCCCTCCTCCCTCCATAGAGAGAGTTCTGGGCTGTGCCATGGAGGCATCTGTCAACACGGACATCCGGTAGTCCTCGTTCTATGGAAAAGCAGCTGTCCCCTGTTCCCTGTGACATGACTCCATTCCCCCAGCGGCCTGCTATTCAGCTGGGCTGACTGACAGCCGAGCACAGGGCTGGAAGACCACCCTCTCAGACGGGTGAGAACATAGCTGTGGTTTGACTTCATTTAGCCATTTACAAAATGCAACGATCTGGGGCTTTGGCAAGTCACTTGGAGAAGACTTAGATTTCAAATGAAGAAACGTGTGTTTTACATTGTCTCAGCTTCATTCATTAAACCCAAACCAGATTAAACTCCCATTTGCGCCCATCCACATGGGATGACAGAGAGGGAGCCTGAACAGGCCTACTCTCTCCCACGCTCTCTTAATGACTTTCCTTTTTAGATAACGAGGGGGCCCTCCTTCACTTGGTCATGGGTTGCAGTATCCTGGACACTGGCTTAGCCATGCCAGAGCTCCCAGTCTGCTGTCATCCCATGCCGGGCTGTGCCTCTGCCCCTCTGCAGCCCTCCACGCAGGCAGGTGTGGACAGAGGCCCCATCTCCACTGCACCGCCTCCTCCGGAGCATGGAACGTCTGGGCTGTGATGGCAGGCTCTGGTGCTGGGAGATGGAGGGCCCTCAGGGATCTCTTTCTATTTGATTAGACAGAATGTGGTTTCCGCTGCCCAGCAGCTGTGAGCCTGCTCTGCAGGAGGCTAAGGAGGCATAATGCAGATGATGGACAAAGTGGCCTCTGTACGTTTGGATTAATCCTGGGATGCTTTTCCTTGAGTCATTTAGTTTAAAATGATTTCCTTACGAAAGCATAGAAAGTGCATCCTGGATATGAGACAAAGCAACATTTAAACTCCAAAGGCTGAGCTCTGCTGCTCCCTATGGAGGAGGAATCTCTGCTGAGCCTGATGGAGCAGAATCGTCATGCATCCAGACAGGCAGTCCCTGAAGCCAGTGGCTTTGGAGCAAGTCGTGGAGTAAGACAAACTTAGGGTCTTGGAAGAATGGGTCAAAGGTCACATGCCTGATCCTTGCATGCCAGGCTCTGTGGCTGCCTACGTGTGGGGACAGTCAAAGACAGCCCAGAAACCAGGGCTGGAACCTGGGCTGAACATGTTTGGGGCCAAAAAGGAACATGTGTGTGTGTTTACAGTGAGTCTGTTTTGTGTGCTTTGATAAAGGGAAGCCGTGGCCATGTGGCATCTGTTGATGCACAGCTTGCTACAGAAGGAGAGCTGGCTTTCCCACACTAAACACTTTTATCCTTGCACCTTGAAAATAAGAGTTACATCTTGTCTTTAATCTCACTTAAGAAAGCCAAGAGGCAAGACCACCTCCACCCTCCCTCAGGTCCTTAACTCGAGCAAGAGGGTCCTGCAGCTCCCACGATGCTTGCGGCTCTGGGCCCGGGCTGTACACAGAAATCCCCTGGACAGTCCAGAACCAACCTGCTGCCCGGTCTCATCAGTGATGCTGATTCAATTAGTGTGAGCGCAGGCTGAGGAGGGGTGTTTGCCAGTTCTCCAAGTACCCACCTGTGTCGCCAGGGCACACACCATGGGCAGAGAGCCAGCCCGTGCCCCGTGAGATGACGGGGGGGCCAAGCAAGAAGCAGCTCTGGCTGGCTTTGTCACGAAGGAGGTGCTGCTGCAAAGCCAGAGGTCAGCCTGCCTCAGCCGGCAAGTCCCAGTTTGAGTAAAGTGATATTTGCAGCCTCAAAAAATCCTGTGTGTCAGAACTGAAGCAGCACCTGCCCCTGCTGCCAGCTGTTGGGGGCCACAGGGTCATGAGGAGATGCCAAGTCAGTGAACCTGATTTTTAAGGGTCCAGAAGGACAGAGATGTTGCTATCTGTGGGGTTAGCATTGCCCAGCGCAACCGTCCCTGAGGAGGAGGCCCCAAAAGTGGAGAGTCCACCAAGGACTCTGAAACCAAGGATCATCCTCATCTCCATCTCAGTCACACCCTTGAGTCTCCCCTCCCACTAAACAGGAACACTGGTTCTATCTGGTAGTTAGACTACTGGCCTGGGGTGCGTTTCATCTTCCTCACTTCCCGCATGTTCTCTGCTAGGGAAACTGAAGCCTGGGGAAACAGCCAACGCTCTGCCGCAGGAGCAGAATCAGCGGCCTAAATAATTCATAGGCTTGACTCTCTGGTTCCCCCAAACCAATGGGTTTCTGTAGGAAAGATTCAGCCAAATGGAAAGCATTCAGATATGATTTCTGACACTTCCAGCTGTGAGGATAAGATGTGAAACTCTCAATTCCTCCACACGCTGTCTGCATTTCTCACCCCCGTGACAGTTCCTTGGGCACTTATCTCGAAGCTTCCTCAATGGATAGATAAGCAAGCCCACATTTTAGAAATCTTAGTATCTCTCGCAGTATCCCGTCATGGTGCTTCGCGTACATACAATGCACATTCCATAAATATTCTTTGCACAGGTGAATCAGTCAATAAATAAACGGCTTTTCCTATCATAAAGGATCATGAACAGAGCACAGAGCTCTCATACAACAGAACACGTTTGAATTACGCCCAGGTAGCTTATGTAAGTCATTTTCATGTGGAAACGTCAAAGGCTTCTTTCCTTTCATCACTCCAGCTTGAAATATCTAAAAGGCCGTCATGTCCTGGCTTTAAAAAGAGGTGAAGCACATCTCTAGGCACACGCTTCTGCACAGGTGAGGCCTCAGCGAGGCGTCCTGGCCCCCGAGTGGACATGCCCCCCTCAGCAGTGCCTCAGCTCCAGGACACCACCACGTGAGCCTTTGTTCAGCATTTCCTGCCTGTGGACCAC